TCTGTCGCCAGGCTGGAGTGCAGTGGTGCAATCTCAGCTCACTGCAACCTCCACCTCCAGGGTTCAAGCGATTCTCCTGCCTCAGCCTCCCAAGTAGTTGGGGCTACAGGCACTTGCCACCATACCCGGCTAATTTTTGTATTTTCAGTAGAGACGTAGTTTTACCATGTTGTTCAGGATGGTCTCCATCTCTTGACCTCGTGATCCGCCCGCCTTGGCTTCCCAGAGTGCTGAGATTACAGGTGTGAGCCACCGCGCCCGGCCATGTTGTTATGTTTCATACACATGTGTGTGTATGCATAAGTACACATATAGACACACTTAACATTACATGATGTACATGCTAGTGTTGGAGATACAAAAATGACTTTATGCTTACCCTAAAGGCTTCCCTAAAAGACAAAGAATTGTGGGACAGTTTGATAAATGTCATAAGAGATATTACTAAGTGCTAAAAATAGCACAAAGAGAGGCATGATTTCCTCTGCTTGGGTGTGTCCAGGAAACCTTTACTGAGAAGGCAACATTTGCACGGATCTTAATAGGAATTCAAAGATCACTGGAAGAAGTGTGTGTGTGAGTGAGTGAAGGTGTGGCAGGAAGGGGTGATGGGAATGGAGAAAGATGTTCCAAAAAGGAGAAGTCATATGGCCACAGGCCTTGATGTGAAGCGGCACTGACATTTAGAAGAGTGTAGATAGTTCCATGTGGCTGTCAAGACGGGGCCTTGGGTAGGGAATAAGAGAGTGGACAGTTGAGCACAGGCTGAGTCTGGAGAGACATAAGCTTCTAATTTATCTTGTAAGTAAACAGACATCTTGGAAAGAATGGAAGCAGAGTGTGACAAGATGAGATCTGGACTTTAGAAGGAGGAGGACTCTAACAGTGTGGAGGATGAATTGAAGGAAGGACAACTAGGGGCAGCCAGATCTGTTAAGAGAAGGAGAGGCCAAGACAAGACTAGACCTGCAGAGGTGTCATGGGAAACACCACACCTGTGAAGGATGACGAGCTGGCAGCAGGAGTGGTCAGGAGAGACTTCAAACTGCAGTGCAGGTCAGACACCTGGGAAAGGAGAGCAGACTGGGAAGAGGATGATCCTCAAACTGCGGTGCAGCTCCAGGATGTCCCTGCCAGGCTTAGTGTCCCAGAATACAGCTCACTTCTTAGCAAGGCCTCACATCAGGCACAGTGGCCAGTTTCTAGCCCTGTTTCTGGCACTCTCTGTGCTCAGTCATTGGCCGGGAGCAGCCTGGGGCAGTGTGAACACCCAGCACATCCAAAATACAGCAGCAGGAGGCTGGAGGCTTCTTGCACCAGGTTCTCTTTAAGGGAGACCTGAGCACACTCCCTGCCAGCACAGAGATGCCTGCAGCAGCACAGTCTGCCCTAAGGCAGTCACGGAAGAATGGAAAGCAGATGGGAAAGAGGACCTAGCCTTGTTTGCCAGCACCCCCTGGTCTGGGAAGGCTGTTTCCCTTCTGGCTTGTGAGGTTGCTGCCCTTGCTCCTTTCTTGATTGGGGCCAGAAGTTGTCCTCCGCTCTTTTTGAGGACATCACAGGCTTGGCAGATGCAGGAGTCAGCTCAGGCTACGGTAACACATGGCACAGACCAGGTGGCTTAAACAACAGAAATTAATTTCCTCATATATCTGGAGGCTGGAAGTCTAAACTCAAAGGTCAGCAGGATTGGTTTCTTCTGAGGCCTCCCTCCTTGGCTTGTAGACGGCTGTCTTCTCTTTGTGTCTCCACACAGTCTTCCCTCTATGTGCATCTGTGTCCTGGTTTCCTTTTCTTAAAAGAACACCAATCAGAATGGATTCGGGCCCACCCTAATGGCCTTATTTTAAATTGATTACCCCTTAAAATACCCTGTCTCCAAATATAATCACATTCCCAGATATGGGGGTCGGGGCTGCAACATAGGAATTTTGGGGGCATGATTCAGCCCATCACAGAAGGTAAGAGATGTGCTGCCTCCACTGCTCTCTCACACATCGAGAGCACTGGTCCCTTAGTGTAGGCAGGCTTCTCCTTCCTATAAGTTCTGCTTCCACTGTGTGACACAAAGAAAGTCAGGTGGGTCCAAGAGACGCCAACATGCAGAGTGTGATGGAAGAGAGCGTGGAAAGCATTAGAGAGTGAACAGTAGGAAGGTTGGGCATGGTGGCTCACGCCTGTGATTCCAGCACTTTGGGAGGCTGAGGCGGGTGGATCATCTGAGGTTGGGAGTTCGAGACCAGCCTGACCAACATGGAGAAACCCCATCTCTACTAAAAATATAAAATTAGCCTGGTGTGGTGGCACATGCCTGTAATCCCAGCTACTCAGGAGGCTGAGGCAGGAGAATCACTTGAACCCGGGAGGCAGAGGTTGCGGTGAGCTGAGATCGCGCCATTGCACTCCAGGCTGGGCAACAAGGTTGAAACTCCATCTCAAAATATAAAAAACAAACAAACAAAAAGTAGAGTGAACAGTAAGCATTAAGTAGGGCTGAACTCTGACATGAGGTGAAATTAAACCCGCTTTAGCCCTTGCTCCTCAGGGATCTCTGTTGCCCATCAGTGGAGGAAGTGGGTGGGCACTTGGGCAGGGAGGTTGGGTACCTTTCTACCACCAGTCACTTTCAGCCATGAGGTAAAGGAACGAAAGGTACACGGCTGGTGGAGGGCATCAGGGGATGTGGTGGAGGGGAAGAGGCTGGGAAGAGGGTTCTCAGGAGGATGGGCACCGAGCCAGATGAGAAGGCGAGTCCCCCCGACAGGAGCAGGTCCAAGGGCACAGTCCACCGTGGGGAGGTGCCTGCAGTCCAGAAGCCCCTCCTGGGAGTGTGTTCAGAATCATCGTTCTGTCGACTGGAGAGGGATGAACCCTCCACAGTAGAAGAAAAGGAAAAAGATGGAAGACACACGTTGCTGATTGGCCTTAAACTTCCTTTGCCTTGGTTTTGCTCAGAGCATCCCAATCTTCTCCCCAACCCTAATTTTCCTCGAAGCCCCCGCTCTGATTCTGTGCTCCATCCAGACCTGACCACCCAAAGTTTCCTAAAACATCCTGTGATTTTCAGTCTCTGAGCCAGTTCCTTCATGTACAGTTAATTAATTTATGGCTGTCTCCAAATCCCTTCTCAATGCTATTGGTGAGACCTCCAACAGGATGGGCCATCTCCCTTCTTTGAACTCTCACAGCAACCTGACACTTTGCTTTGTGCCTCCATACATGTTTTGTCCTGCATGGCTAGACTGTCTGGGGACAGAACTGTTTTATGCAACTCTGTGGCCTCAGTTTTACTTACCACAGTGCCTTACATATAGTAGAATTAAATACATCTTGAGTTGAATTAAAGTAAAAAAAAAAAAAAAGATTGCCTTACATTATTTTCTCTAGGTCATTCATGGTAAAGAGTCCTATGAAGATCTCTTCCAGTCAAGAAAATATTTTTTTGTCTACCATACTTTGACTTTTAACTATTGCCTTTTGAAGCTCAGATTGATTTAAAGCACTTGGCTTAGATGCTAAAGCTTGCACATTTGCCAACATGAGCTCATAGTTTCATCTAAGCCTGCTTACCTAAGGAGATTTACATTTTTTTCCTGAACATTTATAAACATCTTAGACCAGTTTCTAAACAGAGATATGATGTGATTTCTTCTTATTTTCCTACCAGTGTTTGCATATTAAAAGAACTTGGGGAATATAGTGGCAACCAAATAGACATCAGCAGAATTTCATGTGTGTTGGGGTGGTGTCCTAGAGAGAGGTGATTGAGAAGGGCTTTCCCAAAACAACTCAAACCGTACCACCTAGGTAGCCCTATGCTCCTCCTGCTTTGTAGCCATTATTATAACCTTTCCTTACCTACACCAATTTTGCAAGGTTTTCTGCTCATGCAAAGTGATCCATACATTCAGAAAACTGAACATCACCAAATAGAAGTTAAAATGAAACAATGCCCACAGCGTTGATGAGACACATTTAATAACATATGAAGCTAATTTAGTGCCTCATAAAGAATAAGGATAAATGGATCCCTATGCCCTCAGGCCAAAAACAATCTTTATTTTCACATAGTCGAATTAAGTATTTCTGGGGCCAGTGTAGGGGAAAGATGGTATGGAATGGGAGAATCCCTCTTTCCTGCAAGAGGAGAAAGCCAGGGACTGCTCTGTCTATATTTTTACAAGGAAATTCTTCCTTCGTTTCTAGTAACCAAACTCAGAAGCACTGATGTTGGGCTGGAACAAGGACTTTCTAGTGGGGAGGGCAGCTGGGCTGCATAGATTTGAGGTTCCATTTTTGAGGTTCACCTTGCCTTGGGGTCTGTCCTTGGTTACCACCACTGATGTCTACCATGCTGGACTTTGGAGAACTTTGCTTCCACTTCAACACACTTTGGTACCTTCAGTCAAGTTTTTATTAAAGACTAGGGAAAGCAAAAGGGAAATTTAAATAAGAAAAGAGTGCCAGGAATCTGTCTTATAAGATACACTTTATGCATCCTCATCTGTCTCCCTTCTTAGTTGCTGGCCTGTCTGGATGCCATCTTAGCATCTGTGACCCAGGTGGCTACATTTGTCCATCTACCTACCTTAAGGTAGAGCCAGGTCCTGGAGAGATTAGGAAATCTTCCTATGTGCCTAAGATTCACCTCATCAGATCTGGAGTCCTGTCTAAAGAGCCACCTTTTGCCTAACAACACCAAAGTCAAGGTTTCCTTTATGAAGTTCTCCACCCCTGCCCTCCTCTCCCACCCCTAAGTCTTGTCCTGCCTGCTGCTTCTTGGAGGAAGAGGTGATTGTCACTGAGGTCTCACCTGGCCCTTTTGTCTTATTCCTCCTGAAGTGGGGAGGGTATGACATGGGCTTACTCTGTGGAGACCCTAAAGCCAGGATGGCCAGGACGCAGCGCAGAAATGTTCCTGTGGAACTTAATAGGAACTATGACCTGGTGAGGTGGGGCAGTGGTGGGGGCTGGCGGTTTTCAAATCTATGTAGGAAGAGGGAGGACGAAAGGCCACAGATCCTTCTGTACACACCAGTCCCACTTCTAACCACTCTTTCTGTCACAAGGTCCTTATTATCCAGTCTCACCCCCTCCCTTTTCCCCATGGCAGGTCCCTGTGATGGAAAGTTTGGCGAGCCTTTGATCTCATGTTCCTGCATGTCTCCATGAGTACACCTGTGTTCATGTCCCATTCTGACCACTCGGGCTGTTTGGACATGTCTGTCTGAGGGGACAGCTGTCTGGCTGAGGTGTAGATGGCTGGCTCCATCTTCCTGAGCTCTGGTTTCTGTGCCTGTCTGCACAGGGCTGTGCTCTGGATCTAGGCGAGAAAGCCTCAGGGTCCTTTCCCTTCCCAGTTCCTGGTGGCAAACATCTATGCCTGGTCACCTTCCACTTTTCTTTGGTCATTTTCTTCCATTTACACCAGGCTTCTCTACCAAGTGAAGTCCTAGCCCTACCAGCAGTAGCTGAAGGATGCTGTCACTGGCCCTATAGGGAGCTAATCCTGCAGGGACATGACTAATCTTTTCTATAACTGGGGAGATAGTGTGGGAGGAGGGTAAAAAAGAGACAAGAATCAACTTCTAGCAGAAAACTCTTCTTTTTCTCCCGAAGTAAAGACTACATCTGCTAACCTCACTTCTTCCAGTACTACCTGGGAACTCAGACTGGGAACAAGGACGTCAGCTCAGCCATTCTTTGTCTCTCTCTCTCTAATCTTCTGCCTTCAACAAAAATGCAGGACTAGAGAAAGCAAAAAGGAAACATAGAAAAGAGTGCCAGGAATCTGTCTTCTAAGATACAGTTTATCCTTCCTCATCTG